TCAATCCTAGTTAGTTGCAAGAATCTCTTTTCTGCATTATACTTAATGGTGAAAAACTAAAGCCATTTCCTCTTAACTCAGGAACGAGAAAAGGTTGCTCTCTCCACTTCTCTTCACTCTAGTATTGGGAAGGGATGGGAAAGGGAAACAAAAGAGGAGGCAACAATGCTTGATAAGAAATGTACTAATTATCTTGCCCATGTAATTGTAACCCCTCTGAATGGTATTTTCACAATAAAAAAAAAAAAGAATCTCTTTTCCTTGTTATAAATACCAAATTTAGTTCAGCTATGCAACAAACTAAAAGCAATAAAACACAATCTCAGGCATCTGCCAGTTAAAACTACTTACCTCCATTGCTAAAGCATTAAAAGAGGTGGCGGTGGGGGCAGGGAGGAAGAAAGGGGAAGGAAAGATGGGAAGGAAGGAAAAGAAAGGGAAGGAAGGAAAGAAGGGAAAGGAAAGAAGGGGAAGGAAGGAAGGGAGGGAGGGAGGAAGGGAGAAAAGAGAGAGAGAAAAAGAAAGAAAGAAAGAAAGAAAGAAAGAAAGAAAGAAAGAAAGAAAGAAAGAAAGAAAGAAAGAAAGAAAGAAAGAAAGAAAGAAAGCAAGAAAGAAAGAAAGCAAGCAAGAAAGAAAGCAAGAAAGAAAGAAAGCAAGCAAGAAAGAAAGCAAGAAAGAAAGAAAGAAAGGGAAAGAGAGAGAAAAGGAGGAAGGGAGAGAAATAAAGAGAAAGAAAGGGTATTATGCTATGTATCTTACATGTCCCTAATAGGCTCATATGCTAAAGGTTTGGCTACCAGCCTGTGGCTCTATTGGGAAGAGGTAGGATCTTTAGAAGATTGGGCCTAATGGAAAGAAGGTGGATCTTTATGCTGTGCAATCACTTCTTTTCATTCTCTGTCTGTTTCCCAGCCTCCATGGCTCCTCATCTTCAACACACATTACCTACTATGACGTACTGGGATACTACAGTTGTACAGCAATGGAGCCAAGCAATTATGGGCTAAAGCTGTTGAAATTATGAGCCAGAACAAATTTTTCCTCCTTGTAAGTGGTTTATTTTTTTACCCCAGCAACAGAAACTAACACAGAAAGAATGAAAAGAAGAAAATAAAGAAGGAAGCAAGAAGGAGAGGGACGTAAATGAATGAAATAAATGAAAGCAAGCAATTACATAGCTTCTCAATGTCAGCAATATGACAGTTTGAGACATGTTTATCTCCCCATGCCCCTTGGTTTAGACAACATCTTAAGATGTTCAGTAACAATCCACCCATGGATGTCACACTGTGTGACAACTAAAAACTATCTTCATTGCCAAATATCCCTAGGGTCAGTTGGGCATGACAAAATTATCCAAGTTGAGATCTAGTAGGTCAAAATCCATATATTCTAATGTTTGTCTCATATTTATCTCTCCACAGATGGATGATCTAGAACAGAACCTGAAATTAGCAGTCTTGAAATGTAAGAATATTAATGAAAGAAGACTGCCTGTGAGAGGGTAACAACTTGAAGAGAACAATAGCTATAATGGTTGTGATGGTTCCATCAACAGGCTGTTTATGCTTTATCCTAAGAACTTCATTTGGGTATGTTTTGGGGGGTGACAACTTGGTTGATCTGTCACTAAAGCTTAGTCTCCAACAGACTTACTAATTAGTAAGTTAGTATTAGTATTTGTTATTATTAGCCATCACTATTTACGTAGAAAAAAATCAAATCTAAATATTTTAATTTATAGACAATTAGAAATGAGTCAGTTTAAGTGCTGTTTGTGTAAATTATGTAAATTATAATATGTATTACATGTATATGTTAAATATATATTCAAATACACTTAAATCCACAACTGTATTTAGCTATCACTGTATGTACATATAGATATATATATATGTACATATATACATATATGTATATATGTACATATATATATTGATGTTAAAGACCTGATCAATAAAGAAATTCAAGTTGACTAATATGTGGAACTTTGGCATGACACACTGAAATGGGTGGCAACTTGCCCAAACACTTCCTACAAAGTCTCTCTATTACCTTTTATCCTGCAAGATGCAACAATTCAAGCCAACTCCCTGACTTCACTGGTGAGCCTTGTCAACACTGAGGTAATAGAACTGGGAAAACTCATCACTACAACAATAGTCAAATATCTGAATTTATTTGATTTGGTAAAAAATGTTATCAGTGCCAAATAAAACTAAATGCAATTGCAGTAAAGTATGCCAGACTGGTTAATTTTGCTGTTGAAAGGATTCTTGGAGTGCCTCATATTCATCCTGCAATTGCTTAGGATTGGAATTTTTGTTGTTGTTCCTTATCCTTTCCAGGCCCTTCTCTCCAGTCATGGGGCTGCAAGAGAGTAGGTGTGGGAAAACAGGAGCTAGTCAGCATGCATTTATCCATTTGGTGTTCTCTAAGTTCATTCCCACTCTTCACACTCTGCTCCCCCAGGAAGAGAGATAGGTTTATTTCTCCATCACTATATGGCAGGCAACAGAGAAATAAAGGAGATAGAAACCTCATCCTCATGAAAGTTACTGAGAAGATGAAACAATCAAATGAAAAACCTGCTAGTAGAACTCTACTGCCTATGTTCTTTCCTCTCACTGCCAACCAAGGTTTAGATGGGGAACAAAAACTGTCTTTCCAGAAATATAAGTTCATGTCTCTGACCGCACTGCTCCCAAGCTCCATTTCCATATTCATGCATACTCAATGTACCCAAGTAGCGATAGTTACAGAGATTAATTGTATAGGTTCCAAAGAAAACTGTATTAGTGTGAGTGCCAGCTCCATCACTAACAGATTGGACAGATATGGAACTGGAAGCAAAAGAGTCTTCACTCTACTGGGTGATTTAAGGCAACACACACACAACTCCACATCTACTTTCTCTAACCCAAAGTACCACCTTGGTTCCTCTAGGATACAGTAATAGCCTCACACCTTCCCATTTTCATTTCACCCATGACTCTATAGTTCATTCCCCACAGTGTAATTAAGAGAAATCAGATGCCAGAATTTCTTCAATGCAAACCTTCTAGTAGTTTTCCACTACTCTTGGAGTAACATCTTTACTTGACTACAGACTATAAGGACCCACCACCATCATCTGCCACTTTTTCCCTTCCTTATTGTATTCCGAACACTCTCACTTACTGTGTCTTGAACAATTCAGGCTTGTTACCACCCCTAAGCCCCATCCTGTGCTCTAAGGACATACTTATGTGGAATGTGAGCCCTAAAGTTACTGTCCAAAGGGGTTTGGGCAAACCCCTTTCTGTGTGTCAGTTTCCTCATTTATAAAAACAATGGTATTACTAGTTACCTCATCAGGCTGTTATAAGAACTTAAGTGTTTACCTCGGGGCCTTGCATAAGTGCTACATAAGTGTTCATTGCTATTATTATCTCCTCTGAGATGTTCTTATTCAAACTCTTCCCCTTTAAGCAGCCCTCCTTTGAATGGACTGCCTTGACAGATCTATCTTAAAACAACCTTCCCTGTTTCTCCACTGTCTTCTTACCTTTCTTTGTTTCAAACTTATCCCAATCTAAGATTATTTTATGCCCTCATTCTTTGTTTCCAACTGTAACGTCAGCTCTGCTAAGCTGGAGACCATCTTCTCTGCTGTACTTTTTCTAGTTCTGACTCAAAGCTTCACTTGAGAATGCACACATCTCTCCAGGGTAGTGACTAATGCAAATCTCTTAACAATACTGTCTTTGGAAAGGCTCTCAGTATTGTACTCATGATCCTATTTGACTCTTAAAAGAGTAGTAACACTTTAGAGGTAAGAAAGTGCCAAATTGAGGTGACTTGTCTTTGGAAACAAAACTAGTAACTAGTAGCTAAAAATAGAAGGCTCACATTTTTATTTAGAGGCTACTAGCATTAAAGGATGTTGCTAAACATTAGAACTAAATTTACATATGATCACTTATCTACTGTGTAACTACACTTTGTGGTGGGCACAATATCCTTCAAAATTCCTGAACAGTATTTTACTAAATCAATAATGTCCTAATCTTAGCAAGAGTAAGCGGAATTAAGAGTAAGCCATCAGATAAGATGACTGAATATTCCAAGTGCACATCAACGAATCTACATTTCAGGGTGTTCGTGTTGAGTGTAGCACGCAAGTATCAGCATGCTTAAAAGCTTTCTCAGCAAAACCCCGCAGGGAAGGAGCATACTGCCAAGATAACTGAGACAATGATAGAGGTTATTTCTAATCCCTGGTCCCCCAAGTTCCAGGACAAGAGCCGGGATCACCTACCAGGCTGAAACGTTAAGATCACGGAGGTTGTGATAGGTTGAGGAGGTAACACGGGTAACACAGGTTAACTTGGATGAGAAAGACTCTTACCCTACAAATGGCCACAGGCCACCTCCCTCCAGGGAGGAACAGGTCGTTATCTCACCTTATCACAATGTTCCTGGTGGGACTGACAGCTAGGGAGGCCAGAGGTTACCCTCCCTCGGTTTTACACAAAACGGAAACTGGGGCAGCAGGTGGATATCTTATCGCTTGTGTACTGCGATTTGGGCAGTTACAGGGTCTCAAGGGATGTCTCGACCTAGGATTCCAAATCTCTGAAGAAATCCGCAGGGGGGGGTAACATATTTCGGTCTTAAATAAAGGCATCGACCCCCCCTTTATCGAATAATTTTTAAAGGAACTGTCCAGGGGGACCGTCCCCCTTCCACCGCCGGGACCGCCGGCCCCCAGTCGGTTCCGGCCCCAGGGATAAAGTGGCAGGCCCGGCCCCGCAGGGCACGGCCTCGCCTCCGCACCCCGGGTCCCTCCCGCCTACGAGGGCGCGCTCCCCGTCTGGGCGGGCACCTGTGCCTTCGCCACGTTCGGCGGCTCCCCGGATCTTTCAGGGAACCAAACGCCCCCACAGCCACCACCGCGGCGGCCACTGCCAGCACACACCCGCAAGCCCAAAGAGCTGCAGGAATCCTCGCAAACTTACAGTTTTTCTCACTGCGTGCGCGTCACGGCGAGGTGACGTCACGGGGCCCGGCGTTTGGGGAGGTCAGGCCGCGGGCTCAGCGCTCGGCCCCACAGCTCCGCCCCGCCCGCGCACAGCGAGGAAACGCCCTCTCCTGGCGCCCGGCGCTCGCCCGGAGCCCCGCCCCGCCCCGGAGGGAGCCCTGTGCGCAGGCGCAGACGGCGCGGGCCGCCGCGTGCGCGGGGTGGGGGGGGGGGGGGGGGAGGGGGGCGGGGTTCGCGAGCCGGGATGCAGAGGTGGCGCCTGCTCCAGAACTAAGTCGGTAGACAGTAGCCGGGATAAGGTGTCAATAGAAGGGGGCCGAGACCACCTGCACCACACCCTCCAGGAAGACAAACCACAGGTGGGGGCGGGGAAGGTGTGGACAAGACTCTGAGGTAGTTTTCCACACACGTTGTCTTCCCTCACGTGTTCGTTAAAAGTTCCACACGTGTTGGAAACAGCTACCTGCGTCCCTCGAGGGTCCGGCGGGTCCCCCAGCCGGGCCCCCAATCACAGGGACTCAGCTCTCCCATCGGCCCTTGCTTCGCCCGGCCCCGCCCCGGCTTTCCCTGTCAGGACTCGGCCCCGCCCCTTCGGCCGAGGCCCCGCCCCCCGTGGCACGCCCTTCCGGCTCCGGCTGCTGGCTCGCACCAGGCCGGGCGCTGTCTGCCCAGCCCTGCCGGGCGCTGCCTCCAGTTCTTTCTCTGGATTTCGCGTTTGAACTCGGTGACGTCTCTGTTCACCTGTTCAGTGCAACAAATCGTGATCTGTGTAGACACGCGGGTATCCTTCGCCACTGAAAACTTCCTAGCCTTCCTTCGCTCACCTGTAATGATACCTTCCTGGGTCCAAGCCGAGCTCTGCTCTTTTCTGCTTTTAGAAATAGCGAGGTCTGATTAAAAATGACTGAAGAATGCAAAATGAAAGGGTGACGAACAGAGCAACGTGGTAACCTGGTTTCTGGTTTGTAGGATGCTTCTGTTACTCATAAGCAGAGAAAAACATTATGGTAAAAAAGTGGCTCAAGCCGGTCTTGGGGCAAATTTTAACCACTATTATTTTGCTAATTTATTTTATTAGATTTAAATTTTTAACTTTAGTTATGCAGAAGTGTTTGTTTTCATTTTCATTATCATTGTTAAAGAGTAGGAAAAACCTGGGGGGAAAACAGATCTTAAGGAGAAAGTATTAAAAAAAAAACACACATTTCAAAACTTACTTGGCAAATAGCTTAGGAGTTTTGCAAAGCAGGACCAGTTATATAAAACTTCAACTAGTGCTCTGTTTCCACTCTCGACAAAGAGTTTTGATGAGGAATGTTGTGAGCCATTCGCTGGAGATCCTGAGCTTTAAACATGTATTCCAGAAAAATCTAGATACCTTTGTATGTTTTTTCCGTAGTTTATCAAGTGATGTAAAATGACATTATGAAGTCTGGTAATTTAACAGTAAGGTTTTCTGTGCAACAGATGTATACAAAAATCAACTTCTTTAAAAGTTCCACATATATTTAAAATACTGATGTTTATATTTATCCTTACAAACATAATTTTAAGATACATTTATGTTGTCATCGCCTTGCTTTTACAATTAAATACTCTAGGCCATATCCCAAAATAGGATTCTTTCCTATTGTAATTATTATCTAAGTAATTGTACAAAGGGGTTTCAACTCAGCATGTCAGTTTTTCATGCAATGCATATTAATCAATGTCACCCCTTTCATCATTCTCCCTGCCTACCAGAATTTTTTCTAAATAAGATGTTAGATACACTTGAAGTTGTTCCATAGTTAAATGTCATCTGTCATTTTCTAAGATGGAAATAGCTAAGAAGTACACCAAATGTATGAAAAAATTAGTATAGGATACCTTTACTTCTGAAAGATGGTAGTGTAAAGTGTATACTCATTGTTAAGCATTTTTTTTCTTGATATCTGAAGTCTTTTTAAAAGGCTGTATTATTCATTGTAGGAAAGAAGTAAGTTGGTTGAAAAAAAATGGGCAGTACTCAAGCAAAGAATAGAATTCTGGGAATATGCAGTAGAGATTTGCAGGAAATGGAAAAATAAAAAAGAGAAGTTGTAGTATAATGTATGGCAATAGAGCTGTGGTTCAAGTGGTACTAGCTTTGTGTAAAAAAGGTAAGGAACAACTCCCAGGTCCTGAATTCAAGCCCCAGAACCAGCACACACATACACACACACACACAGAAATTAAAAATAAATTTTCAGCAAATAGCTAATTAGTATGAAGCAGATATATTGAAGTTTTTTTAGCATAGGATACCATTTGAAAGATGTATTGCAGAGTATTTCATGCATATGCACAATAAGATTCAGTCAAGTTTCTATAACATACTGGAATATAATGAAAAGCTAGGGTCAAATTATTGATATTAGGAACTATAAGAAGAGCTGCTTTCTTTAAAGAAATAAAACCCTGGACTTTCTAGGTTTAGTACTGGAAGACTGACACTTTCCACATTCTGACTATGGACTTTGAATTTACCCTTGTGATCATTTTTACATCCACTGTTCTTATGCTCCTAGCAATCTGCCTCTGTGTGGGGCACATGGGCAGCAAAGATGGCGCTGAGAGGAAGTTGAGTGGGCAGAGCCCAAGTTGTTTATGTTAAAATCTGATTGTATACCACAACCAGGCGAAGTGACATCAGTGCGTGGACAGCAGGGAAAGTATAGAAAGCTTAGGCGCATGATAGGGTAACCTCTACAGTGATCGGTTGGTTCCTTTTCCTCCCCTTCGATGCCATGTGGTTTTTTGCTTCAAAAAGTGCTTGCTGTGTGGTAATAAACAAGTTCCTGCTTGACTTGACTCCCTACTGCGGGTCTGACTGTCAAAGAGAGGCTGGGGAACCGGTGAGCAGCACACTTATCGTTCCTCGACCAGTCCTCTGCGGGATGGTCAAAGACTCAACACCTCTGGAGGCTTCTATACAAATAAATTGTCCTTTGGCCCTACTCACCAAGCTGAGAAAAGCTAAAGACAGAAGGAGGGTGGGAGGGAAGTACTGGGAGGCAAGAATATATAATTTATATATATATATATATTAATATATATTAAGTATCTTTATATACCATTGGCTGCTACTTAGTTCTTTCAACAAGTCCTGATACTCCATCTTACACACCAGGCAAGCAGGTGTGGGAAATTAAGTGCCATGTCATACAGCTGTTGAGTAAAAATCAAGATTTGAACCCATACTGCAGAACCAACAGCTATAATCACTGATCTGTATCACATTTCATGTAATGAAACACAAAGCATGCAAGAACTTTAAAAGTTCAGTGTAAGCTATGTAAAATTTAGCTCCAGTAGATGCTCCTACAGTATATTAGTATTGTTCTTCACTAATTCTCATCCTATCTCCACTGGTTTTTAATTTTTAAGGTGCTCGTTATGACCCAACAAGTTGATCTTATAACCCAGTAATGCATTGTCACCCTAAAAAACACAATTCAGGATCTGAAATGTAAAATATGAGATTACATTTACCAAGAGTAATTTTTCCTAAAACACAAATGTGAGAAAACAGATATTCGAATAAAGTGCCTATTCTGTGTTGTGATATTAAACATATTTCTTACTATGTATCTTTAAAAAAAAGTTCAAGGCTGGGTTTGGTGGCTTTAGTAACCCCAACTTTCTGGAGAGGCAGAAATTAGGAGAATCAGTTTGAGACAAGTCCCAGCACAAAACGAAAAACAAAAGTTTGAATTTGTAATCTTAATTATGCACGGCATAGGTAGAAGGATCACAGTCCAAGGCCAGCTCTGGGAAACAGTAGGAAACTTTATCTGAAAAAAATAATCAAAAGCTAAAGGGCTGAAAGTATGGTCTAAGTGATAGAGGCCTTTAAAATCTGATTGTACCACAATTACCACCAAAAAAAAAAAAAAATGGAAAGAACAACTACTATTATAAACTATTGTAACTACTGTTGCAGTTTGGATTTGGAACGTCTCCCAAAAGTCCACATTTTAAAGCTTGATCCTCATGATGGAAGCTTGTGAAGATAGGGCCTAATGAAAGGTTTTACTTAGGTCACTAGTGATGGGCGTCAAAGGGGATGTCTTTCTTTCTCCTTTGCTTTTTGCTGCCATAAATGAGCAGCCTCCTCTTCCACTTCCATGTGTTCCCAAGGCTAATGGGGCCTTTTCGACTGAGGCCTCTGAAACCATCATCCAGAATAAACTTTCCCTCCTTCTAAGTTAATTATCTGAGGCATTTTATGACAGTGATGAAAAGCTTACTAACGAACTACCCTTTTATTTACGTCTATGCATTGGTCATCTAAAATCAAAACCAACAGAAACAAAATCCATCTCTGTGCTCTGTTCGCAGCCTTCTCAAATACCCAGGATCTGGTGTTCCCAGCTTGATTATCTGGGAACATAATAACCATAATAATCATTTTTTCCTGCTGAGAGAATGCATCTTGTCTCTAGCTGGAATCCATATGAGTCCAAATAATACGATAAACACTTATGAAACAAGAGTTACACAGAGGAAGAGGAAGGTCATTTTGACAAGCAGTGAGAGTTTGCTGGTAAAAATAAAAAAGAAAGAAAAATTTCTTGGACAGAGACTGGAGAGCTAGGGAAGATACAGGTTTAATGACCACACCATCTTATTCATGTCTTCAGCGACATTTACAAAGTACTTTGTATCTCCTTTGATCACTTCTCTTTCCCCATTCTTTACTTTGCTAATTCTCATATTTCAGGTCACTACCTTAATTTGCTCTGAGGAGCCTTCCCTAGGGTGTCTTTGCTTTGTGTGTGTGTGTGTGTGTGTGTGTGTGTGTGTGTGGGTGTGGGTGTGTGGGTGTGTGCATGCGCACCTGTCCCAAGGCTTGAACTTGGGACCTTGACACTGTCCCTGAGTTTTTTTACTCAAGGCTAACACTCTGTTGCTTGAGCCACAGCTCACTTCTAGCTTTTTTGGTGGTTAATTGGAGATAAGAGTCTCATGGACTTTCCTTCCCTGCTCTGATCTTGAACCATCTCAATCTCCAGATCTCAGCCTCCTA